ATAACACGAATTTATTATCTTACAATTCTGGAGATCAGACCTCTGAAATGGGTCTCACAGGGCTAAAGTCAAGGTGTTAGCAGAGCTGGTTCCCACTAAAAGCTTTGGGGGTTGCTGCATTCTTTGGCTAATGGCCCCTTTCTCCATCTTCAAAGCCAGCAATGGACAGCTGAGTCTTTCTCACATTGCATCACCCTAACTCTGACTCTCCAGTCTTGTCTCCCTCTTCCACTTTTAAGGACCCTTGTGATTACATTGAGCCCACTCAGATAATCCAGGATAAACCTGCTATTTTAAGGATTATCAGCAATCTCAAATCCACCTGTTACTCTAATTCCCCATTGCCGTAACCTAACTTATTCACAGATCCTGGGGATATGACACGGGCCTCTTTGGAAGGGTGCAGGGGATGTTATTCTGCCTAACACAACAATAGTAACAGCTTCCTCATAAGGCTGTCTCAAGGATTATGCGTATTTCTAAGTTCTTTCCATTTCTCAAGATATAGTCCTGAACACTGAAATTCATTTAAAAGGTCTTTCCACTCATTTACTCAACAAGCACCCACTGAATGGAGTTAATGAAACAAAACCTATCAAGTACTAAGAGCCTGGCACCCTGTAAGCACTCNCCACTGAATGGAGTTAATGAAACAAAACCTATCAAGTACTAAGAGCCTGGAACCCTGTAAGCACTCAATNGAAACAAAACCTATCAAGTACTAAGAGCCTGGCACCCTGTAAGCACTCAAATAACAACCACTATCACCTTATGATAGTCATAATTTTATAATCCCTTTTGGCAATATGGTCACAGCCACAAGAATCCACTTCTCAGTCTGAACTTTCTGTGATCTGTCTTCCCAAACCCAGCCAAGTATTGCTTTCTTTTCCAACTATCAAGTCCAGCATGACTTCCTCATGGCCAACCTGTCTTTGTGTTAAGGCAGAAAAAGAACTGGAGTGCAGTAGCTCCCATTACTTCCCCTACCTCTTAGGAGGTGGCAGCACCCAGCAGGACCAGTAGAGAACTCATCACAGTCCTGGCCGGTGTGGCACAGTTGGTTGGAGTGTCCTCCCGTACACTGAAAGGTCTCAGATTTGATTCCTGGTCAGGGCATATACCCGGTAGGTTTCGGGTTAGATCCCTGATTGGGGTGCATCCGGGAGGCAACCGACTGACGTTTCTCTCTCTCTCCCTCACCCTCTCACTTCCTTCCTCTCTCTCTAAAAACAACAAACAAACAAAACTCATCACACCATCTGGCTCTAACAGCAGAGCTGAAGCTTCCACAGCTGGGTCTGTCATCGGTGTCCAGGCTCCATCCTTAGCTCCACCGGGCCCAAAGGTCTGCAGCGTGGCTCCAAAACACTCTCAGCTTGTTTCTCCACACGGCAGCCACACGCACGGCCTCTAGCAGGTCCCCAATCCAGCCTCACAGAATTCACTGATTCCAGACGCGTGAAGATGGTTTTCACTTGAAGCAGACGCCATCCTCCACCAGGACCGTGCCTTCCTGAAGGGGCTCACTTCCACTCCACACGCCAGCTGGGGTTCGTCTAATGCCGCAGAGAGAGCTGGGTGAACACGGAGATGGCCGAGGCCCCAAGATTCATTTCTAAGCAGCTACCCTGATATTGCTCATCATGAGGTCGACTCGGGTTCTTTGTTTTGTTTTTCCAATAACACAAGGATTATCTTGTATCATATTTGGCTTTGGTTTTATTACCTTTTTCTCTTTTTATCTTATAAATTGTGCTTAACACTCACAGTCAGGTCAGGCATCGAGCCTCAGGACAGATGCTCCCCTCCCATCCTATCAGCTGCCCTCTCTGGTCCTTGCGGAGACGGGAGCCCAAATCCTCCTCAATGCTGGCACCTTGTCACACGGTCCACAGGTTTGGAACAGAGGAGCCTTGACACCAGGGTCTTCAGAGCCAGGACAGCATGGGGGCCCCAAGTTCAGCCCACAGATTGAGACCCTGGTCTGTGCTGGTCCAAGGTCACAAGGGGACTCGGGAGCTGGGTACAGCGTTTGAGTGGGCAGACGTCAGGGCTGGAGGGGGCTCCTTTTCAGTCTCTCTTCCCCGGGTGCAAGAGGCGAACATATCAGTACTCAGGCCATTCTGTTTTCAAGTCCAGACCTTCAGGATCTTTAATGAACACCTCCAGCCTTCTCCATAGTCTCTTTCCTCCCCAACACGGGCAGGGAAACCTGAGCTGAGTGGCTCCAACACTCGCTGCAGGAGTGTCTCTCCTGTGTGGTGTTGTGTACATGCCTCTGTACAGCCGAGGTGGGGGAATCGGAGACCCCTGCCCAGCCATTGCACCTATAGGGACTTCTGAAAGCTGGACCAGGATCCCTCCTACCCACCACTGCTGGACAGGAGCTCATCCACATGTCCCCAGCCACGCTCCATCAGGACGATCTCGCGCAGCTGCTGTGGGGGCAATTCTCCTTTCCTTTCTCGAAAGGCTGGTCACATCCTTCCATTCATCAGCTCTTGACCACGATTTCCTTCTGTCTCCTCAGAAATCGTATTTTCTTCCTGGCGTCCTCCCAGGTTCTTTCTTTCATCTAAGAACAACCCATCCTTGCTCATAAAGCAGAGGGGGAAGGGAAGCACCTCCAGTCCTTTCATTTTCCTTTGGCACAGGAAAAGCAGTTCTCACCTGGGCGGTTACAACTGGCCGGCCACAGCCTCCAGCCTGTGGTTCCCATAACAGCTGGGAGAGCTTGCTTTCCTGTCCTAAATTCCAGTCCTAAATTCTCAGATCTTCAGATAAGCTAATAGTCTCTCCTGGCTCCCTCAGAAAATTCCCCAGCAAAACTGCCAGCAACTGCATGCTTTCCGGACCGTTTATACTATTCCTGGGTCAAGGGTTGGCTCCGTAATGTACACCGGCAATCCCATTAGTCCAAACCTTTTATTAGCCACATCCTCTCACCACCAAACCTGCCAAGTGATTATCTGACTCATATGCTCGACCTCGGCGAGATGGGGAACACTATTCATGTAGCCCACTCCTTCGGCTTTGCCATTGACTTTATGTAGGAATTAAAGGCTTTCATGCTTATTTTATGGTTAAAGAGATTATGGATAAAAACACAAATGTAAATAAAGGATAAGTAGTTCTACTAAACCATGCATAAGGTTTAGATTCAGTAATTAAGAGCCACAAAAGACAAGAGAAACACAGTGGTTAAATAAGGTACAATAATTGTAACGGTGGGAGTGAGGGGTGGGGGAGAGATTCGAAATACTCTGTATAACAGATGACAATTGGGTACATTTTAACAGAAAGCTCTGTACTTAAAATAAGAATATATACTGCCTGTGTGGAAATTATTTGACAAAAGAGCTCAGTTTTACTATTCTAAAATCGCTGAATAGCCATAAAATTATGTTCTCCATTCCACTAAGGTTTAAAAAGTAGGTGTAAACTTCAAGAAAATAAGTCTTTATGAACTGTAATCGTTGTTGTTTGTGTTGTACGATGTATTGTACACCAAATAATAGCAATTCTGGGCCTTCATCATTCTGAGTCTAACAACCTTTTAGCAATTTTCACGTGCCAGAGTATCAGTGGTCTTCGTAAGTCAGGAGATCAAACAAAATAGTCTTTGCACAGGGCCTCTGCACTGGGATGGTGTCTCTAACTCTCCCATTCAAGGGAAACCACTATTCAGGGCACTGGTTAGTAGAGAGAAGCTGTCCCTAAGGGGTACAGAGGGGTACAGAGCACCAGGGCACCCAGCGCGGTCTTGAGCTCTGTTCCAGCATTGTTCTCGGGCTGCCATGAATGGACTAAGCATTCAATCACAGACGTGTCAGCGGGGACGATTCTGATCTATTTGTCACTAGGATATTTGTTGTTTTGTTTTAATTTATTTTTTATTGATTTTAGAGAGAGAGGAAGGGAGGAGAGAGAGAGAAACATCCACAGGCGAAAAACATCAACATCAATCCACTGCCTCCTGCACGCCCCTACTGGAGATCAAGCCTGCAACCCAGGCATAGGAATCGAACTGGTGATCGCCTGGTGTATGGGTGGATGCTCAACCACTGAGCCACACCGGCTGGCACCAGGATAGTTTTAATATCAAGGTTGTATCAATTTCAACCAAGATAATTTTCATTTAACAGCCCTTTCTGAAAGAGCAAGTGGAGGGCTAGAGAAGCACGTGCCCCAGAGGTCGGCAGCCCAGGAATCTGAACCAGCGCCCGGGAAGCACCTGCTGGCAGTGCCATGACTCTGCTCTCCTGCAGCTTCAAGGCCAGCGCCAAGACTGAGTCCAGGCACAGATCTGGTGGGGCATCTACCGACCAAGGCACATGGCCCTGGTGAAAACAGAAAAAAAACCAACAAAGCTGGAAAAGAGGGAAAAAACAAAACACAAAAACTCAGTTGTTTCCCTGGTCAGTGTTGCTCAGTGGTTAGAGTGTTGGCCTGCACACCGAATGGTCATGGCTTTGATTCCTGGTCAAGGGCACGTACCTGGGTTGCAGGTTTGATCCCTGGCCCCAGTCGGGGTGCATGTGGAAGGCAACGAATCGATGTGTCTCTCTCATTGATGTTTCTCTCTCTCTTTCCTTCTCTCTCTCTCCCTTCCACTCTCTCTAAAAATTAATGGAAAAAATATCCTCGGGTAAGGATTAACATCAACAAAAACTCAACTATTTTTTCTCTTCAAAATTTTATATAAAAATATATTTGAGTACTATTAAAAATTCAGTTCATGGATAATCTAAAAATCTCACCAAGCCTCTGGTCAGTGTTAGGAAGCATTCTTTTCTAGAGCTTTCTTTGGATGCTTCTGGTGGGTGTGGGATGGAAATAGTCTATTTGGAAAGATTACGGGAGATCCTGTTCATTGCAACAGGCTGAGCTTCACTTGGCTGAGGTCTGGCCATTCAAACGGTCCCCTCTCCCTTCCCCACTGGACCCACCCCTCCCACAACTTCGAGGCTGATGGGCAGCTTCTGTTAGTGTAGTACCTGCCATTCCTTGTGTCATGTTGCCGCATGTTCTTGATAAAATGAATCTTCTTAAAGTTCTTTGGTCTGGGAGAACCTGAGAGAGTTCGACATCTGAAAAATAAAGTCATTTCAAAAACACAGTCAGTTGCCCACTGGACAGCTGAGACATCTCCACACAAAGACAGGAAGGAAAGACCAGACAAATGGTTTGAGTCACCCCAAGGATAATGAGGACAATATGACTGGAAGCAAGGAAGCTTAAAAAAAAACCCAACGACAGACAACTTCCTTGATAATACTGATAATAATTTATATGGGTCTCTGAAAAGCCAGCTAATGAAAACTATTGTCCTCAGTTACAATAACATAACCTACCCGGATTCCAAAGACATTAGTCTTTCTTGTCACCTTAAAAAAAAAAATCCTCCTGTATCAACACAGGTAATGGGAACAGAAAACTATAAATTTAAAGGGTTTACAGGGGAACCAACACTGGAAAATTCAGTTTAAAAACAAGCATAAACCATTTTTCTTTTGTAGCAGCACTCTGGCCTGAACGGCCTTCCGTTCTCAACATGACTGTGCCTGGAACTCTCAGCTTCACTCTGAACGAGAATCAGAGGCTCAGCTAGTGGCTGTTTCTTTTTTTGTTTTGTTTTTAAGATAAATTTTAAATAAATATTTGTTGAACAAAATGACTTGGGTGGAAATTATTTTTTCCTGGAATATATGCCATGTGCTTGCACGGCAGGGCTGACAGAACAGCCCACAAACTGAAAAGATCCTTACTTGTGTATATTTTTTTCAAAGTTACCTGGCAGATTCTAAGTTACACAGCTGCAACAACAAGGGGAAAAGCAAAACACCCAAGAAACGAGAGTCTGACGTTTACGCTTTTCTTGAAAAAGGGAGCTGTGACTTTTCTGTTTTGTTTTTTGCTAACCAAATTTTGTTGTTTACTTAAACCTTTCTGACCAGGGCCCTAAGGGCTGATTCAGCCACTGGAACTGGGGACCCTTCAGAGAGGAAGTTGTGGAGAGTTGTACCCGGCTGCCCAAAGCCACAGTGAGGTCTGGGCTGGGGATACCCACCCCCAAGTTCAATCAGTTCTGAACTTTGCAGCCTCAGGTACAAGAGTAACAAGGTGACCCAACAAGGAGGTGTAGTTGAGGGCAGGTGGGGTGTGGGGCAGGTCAGGTTCAGGACTGGGGAATGGGCAGGGTCATAGACCTGTAGGGAAACCCCAATCTCTAAAATCCTCCAAGGGCCCAGCTCAGGGGAAATTAGGTGATGCCCGGGTCCAGACCTCAGGATGTACATTCCCCACACCCTCATAACCACCCTCTAGGAAGGGCCAGTTTTTCTGGAAGCCTTTTCCCAGAGGGCATTGAAAATTATTTTTTTCATAAGAAACAGCACCTCAAAATGTAATTTAACTTGCAAACAATCACACTGAAGTGAATGAGTGCCAAATGAAAAAAAGACGTCACATCAGGTATCTGGTGACTTTCATCAGGAAAAGGGGGTTCTCTGGCCTTGGGTCTGAAAGAGGGAAAGCCCCTCTTCCAGTCATGTACACAGCCTGTGTAGCCCTGTGCGAGCTTCAGCAGAAACCATGGTCCTCCCAGCCTTCACCCTCAAACTCACTGCAGACCCTGACTGGCCACCAGTAATATTCCTTCCCTGGTGTTGCTGTGGAGACTCACTGCGATGATGTGTGCAAGAGCTTCATAAGCTGTCAGGTGGCACATCAAATACAAATATGCACATTCATGCATATGTTCATACATACACATTTCAGGTGCTGTGATTATTAAGACCATTAGCTACAAAGGGTGGATATTTTGTTACTACCGGACACCTATATTGTTAAAACTGCAGTCCTTATTAAGGGTCCTGAATTCTTGATTTTAAATCCATTCTTTTAAAGACTTGCAGAGCCCTGTCTGAGGGCATTTAGTAGATGTTTCCTGTGAACTTCAGGGAGGGTTTGAATAGCAGACAGCACCCACTAATCCCACTCCCCATTCCAGGCTTCTAAACCCAGACTCAGTCTTCTCTGGGCTCAAGGGGACAGAGCCTCATTCTGCCTGCTTGGGGCAGCTTTCTGGAGCAGACCTAGGACCCCAAACTGCCTCAGTTCTACCTCCATAAATCAATGCTCAAGTCTGCAAGTCACTCAAAGTCCTCAGTTGTCTCTCTCACACACAGCAGAATATTCTGGAAACATGTAGTCGCTGGAGAGGGGAGAACCTCTGAAAGTGCAAAGATGGGCTTCCATTAGTTTCTGGACAGGGCCAAGTGTTCAGGAGTGTCCTCACCCCCTTCCCCCACTCCCTTGCAAAGGAGAGCTTTCTGGATCAGCCGGTCAGGGCAGTGGGCCCAGAGCAAGACTGAGCTAGACTGTGAGGGTACCTTCCCATTCCTACCCCCGTGGCGCGAAGCTGGTCCCAATCCCAACCCCCGAGCTGCTCCCGCCTCCTGTGCCTGCGGAGTTGCTGTTGCCCTTCAGGTTTGAGGACAAAATCCCCCAGGCTTCTGCAGGAACTGGACGTCAGCAAAAGAGCCCTAGGTGGCCGTGAGCGCCAGCAGGGGAAGGGGGAGGTACAATAATCGCTCAATAGAGCGCCAGCCAGCACCCACCCATCCAGACAGGCTGGAAAACTGGGGCAGGTGGTTGGTGGTGGCTGCCACGGGTGCTGCAGATGAACTGAGGTTTTCCTGGACACCCAGTAGGGAGTAGGGGTCCTTATTTCTAGGATACAAGGTAACCACCAGGGGCAAGTGGAAACGCCTCAGTCTATAAACCCTCTCCTTGTAAATGCTCAGTTCTTGGAGTTCTAGGCGGGCACAGGCAACTCACTAACAAACTGTGATGCACAAGAGAAAAGCAAGACTTTCAAAAGGAGAACTTAACAAAGGTGCTTTATGTTGATATCAGCACCCAATTCTAGCTGCATGGGCTCCTCTTTCAAGGAGCTGTTTGTTGTCTTGCGTTTTTTTTAAGCATTCAACTAAACCACCAGGGAACCTAAGAAATGCTTTAAGAGAATTGTGGCATTAGCAACAATTGCCAAGGAAACCGGAAGACTGAGCACTTGGGTTGTGGCAGGTTAAGCAAAGAATGAATTAATTTAGAAACCGGTTGAATTAACGTGTAAATATCCATTTTAAAGCATACATTTTAAGTGATGCAAAATTAAATTAGGACAGAATTAAATTAAAAACTAATTTAATGAAAGATTAGCTCTTTCTTGTTAGCACTGATTACAGGATACACTTAATTATGCAAAAGGTTTTTAATAGATGCCTTGGAGCCCTTTGTTCAATGTGCGGAGTTTAAAAGCAAGTTGGGCTAATACCCTTCCGCCCCCAGTTTCCAAATAACTTCAGTGTATTAATGGTATATTCATTTCACAGACTGGGGAGTTGGAAAGGACCTCAGCAATCCGCCAATCTGCCCCTCCCATTTTACAGATGGGAAAACTGAGGCCCCAGAGAAGCTGAGTGAATTTCCAAGGCCACATAACCAGTTAGTAGAAGAATCTGGCCAAGCACTCACGTCCCCTGACTCCTGAACGAAGTTCCCTTCCTGCTATGCCATGCTAATTTTATCTCCTAAACAAGTTATTTTCTAAGAAATTACTCTTTAAGCTAAAAAAGAAGTCCATTAGGGAAAATAAAGACTTCTTAAACTGCCTAGATACCCTGGATTTCTGACTTATTTTTAAATGTTGTATTTACATAAGATTTGTTGGAAATTTAGTATTCTGTAAGAGTGAAGTTATGGTTGAGGCAGATAAGCCGGTTTTATTCTGCTTGTTTGTGCTACCAGAGGCAGGAGGGGCAGAAGCAGAGACCAGCCTGGGCAAATTCTGAGAGGCGGGTACAGGGGTGAGGGGGCATGTGACCAGGAACAGAGCGTCTCCTCAGCCCCCCCTTAACCACCTGGAGTCCCTAAAGAGGAGTAACATTTTTTCACCTGGTTTCCTTGGCTCACAGCAACCATGCAGCCCTAACAACTGTGGCTTCGGGGAGCCTTCAGCAACACCAGGGGCTTTTCAGCTCTATTCATTGATTTTTCCATTTGTGGTACCTGCTCAAATGCCAAAGCCACTTGGTGCCACCTGAGAACGTTTCTCCTCTACTCTAGCTGATTACTATGGATCAGAGCCAGCTCCCTCATTTGACTTTTAATGCAGCTTTTTGTAGGACTCCTTCAAGGAAACAGCCCTTCTCCCAACCTTTAAAATAGCGACAAATGGAAGAACACTTGCATCCAAGCCACGTTTGTCACGTAGCTACACACCATTCACCTAGGACGGGCCCAGAGGTTATAATCCTTTTAAAAAAGACTTCAAAAGTGGAAATCAAACTGTCTGGCCCTGGCTTTCTCTTTGGAATAATGTCAGTGATGAGATTCAGGGACACCTGACACTTTTGACCAGATTCAGGCCTTTCTATGCTCCATCCTTCATCCAGGTGGTCTGTGGACAAGACCTAGAACCTGGGAGTAAAGCTCTAGGCAGGGAAGGAGCCAGCTCCTGGGTGAGATGCCTCCCTCCACATCTGCACCCTCCCAGGCTCAAAAGGAGGACCCTGGGACTCTCAAATCCTGGCCAGCAGCCAGAGCACAAGGGTACATATGTGGGTTCCCAGAGGAGCTGGTGCGAGTTGAGGGGAGCACATCCTCTGCCGCCTGCCACGCAGGCCCTGTAAAGCCAGCGTCCCATCTTGCCTCAGCTCCTTCTGCAGGGAGGAGCCTCCCACGCTGGCTACCCGGCTTGGGCTGCAGTGAGGACCAAAAAAGATGCAGTGTGTGACTACTGTCTCCTCCACCAAGGAGAGCCTGGCTGGAACGCGGTGCAGATGGGGCTGCTAGAGAGGTGCAGGGTTAGAGGAGGGAAAGCTGCCAGTCAGAGGCAAGGCACAGCTCAGCAATTGCTGTCACCCAAAAAGAGATGCCTCACAAGCACTTTTGTAATCCTGAGAGAGAAATGGAACCGTTTCAGGCCCCAGGGAGCACTCACAGCTCTCTCCTAATAGAGTTTCCCCAGCAACTGGCTACACAGTGACATCGTGGGCACCTCCTAACAAAGCCCAGGACTGAGACTACTGGGTCACTGCACCTGGGGAAGCTGGGCCATGATGGGCTCTTCATCAAGCAGCAGCTTTCATAATGAAAGGAAAACAGCACCCATATTCCCATGCAAACTGGGCTATTCCAATACATAAATAGAATTTAATAGTTTTCTAGCTCTAATGGTACTCAGGGTAAGGGTTCCCAAACTATCAGGCTCGAGATCAGAAGATCATTTCAAGAATTTAATTCAGTAGATCAAGGACTTAAAAAAAAAAAAAAAAAGCAAACTTTGGCTGCCATCTTGTACAACAAGCCATTTATATATACATACACATGCAGCACCAAAAACTTACCTCCGTAGGGGGGCATTCTCTTCAATATCTTCCAGGGTCTCCAAGGACGATCTCTGGGAGATTAGGCGACGTCTGCAGAGAGTGGGGGACACATCTAGGAGTTAAAACTTCATTGAGAAATGGATCAGGCATTTCTGTAAATCTAAAACCGTTCTAAGAAATAAAGTCGATTAAAAATAAAAAGATCAGCCTTGGCCGGTGTTGTTTAGTGGTTAGAGCATTGGCCTGACCACCAAGGGGTGGCTGGTTTGATTCTTGGTGAAGGGCACGTACCTGGGTTTCGGGTTCAATCCCAGGCCCCAGCAGGGGTGCGTGCAAGAGACAACCAATCGATGTGTCTCTCTCACATCTCTCTCTCTCCCCCACTCCCTCCCTCCCACAATAATAATAATAATAATAATAATAATAATAATAATAATAATAATAATAAAACGAGGCTCTTTAAGAGGCTGCCGTGTGTTCCTAGCCTGCACCCCGAATGCCAGGCCCATTTTGTCTTTGCCCTAGTTATATGGTAGCTTTGTGGTGATTAGGAAAGTGACTGATCCTTTTTATGCTGCAATTTCTCCCAAAAGACAAAAAAAAGACAAGGTGGCTCTTATAATATACAACTCAGGTACTGTGTGCAGTTTTTCTCAAGAGTTAGATAATACTGTTAAGGGTTTAAGTATTAGTGGTCTGTACCTGGTTAGCTGATAAATATTAAATTTTAAAACCATATTAAATAAAATCTCAATTAGGGTGCAATAAAATCATTAAGGTGTAATAAAAAAGTTATGGTCTCTGGATGACCATGATTTCAAAAGCAATTAGAAACAAGGAAGGCATTATTCCTTTAGGAGAGTCTCTCAGGAACCAGTAAAAATACATATGGGGCATGTTTAGACAATACATTTACTCTTTCCTGCTGCTTGAGAATTGCAAACCACCTGCTAAAACCTCTTCAATTTAGTTTCTTTTGCTGGACTGAGATAAGACCAGGTCCCAGTTAACTGAGACTATCTGGTATGGGGATCAGGGTGGGTGGTAGTAACTTTACAATAAATTCATCGGAACAAGGACCATCATTTCATAGTAAGCGATTTGGCTGAGGAGGGTAGAGAGAAAAAGTCTGGCTGGGTTTTTCTTCACCTTGAAAAAAAATGGGACTAAAATTAGAGGGACACGTCTATTTTGTATTATAGTTGACAAAATTTACATTAAGAATGTGCAATTATAACTATGTTCTAAAGAACAAAAAATATATAAAATGAAACAATCAGAAGGATCATTGCTGCAAACTATTCAAGGCCTTCATCAATTTTCTAAGAGCCTTTTAAAATCTTTGATACCCCGATGCTTTCTAAAATACTCACCACATACCCTCCCCCTCCATCGGTGAACTGGCCTAATTCTCTCAGACCCTCGTTCGTCAATGTGTGAGAACCAAGAGTTCTCCAACATCACCTGCGTCTTCATGACATATGGACCTTCTGCAAGACCTGAAGTTCAACTCTGCAATGAACTCACAAGAAACTTCCATTTCTATCATCCTGCCAGATTCCAACTGTAAACCAGACCAGAGACAATGGCTATGGGGAGACACTGGTCTTACCTGCAAAGGTGCAGGGGGGCCTGAGGGGATGAGGAATTGATTTTATAGGTGGCCAGTTCATCAGTAAGCAGGGCTGGTCAGTGCAGCCCAGTGACTCCCAGACTCGGCTCACGGGATCCTTATGACAACAGCTTGCAGCTGTGGCTTTGAAGCTTCAGGGCCATCAGCTGAGGCTCGGCTGCTCCAGGTCTTAGGTCTGGCTGGTATGAAGTCCCAGTGGGACAGGGCAGGCACCCAGTTAGTCCCACCCCTACCCAGCACAGCTGGGGGGGACAGGCATCACCATGCTCCTCATCCAAAGGACAGTGCAGTTCCACAAAGGGGCATGCATGCCAGGTCAGACAGACTTGGATTTCCATCCTGGGGGTTGGAGGCTTTATTAAGAGCCTTAAAAAATGCCTTAATCCTTGAGCCTCAGTTTCCTTATCTATGAAATGGAAAATGAGAGTAATTAAGAAACAGAAAGACATAAAGTCCTTGGCACAGAGCAGTTACTGACATGTAGCTACTGAGTTTTTGATTGACACTTCAGTTTCCTCCACGGGGGCTGTACCTTGACCTGCCCTTCCCCCTCAAATGACTAGGATCAGACTGGCTGTCCTAGCTCTGGGCCCACCCCCAATCCCAGTTAGTGGCAGGGTCACCCCAAAAGGTCTTGTGCCTCAGCCCACCAGGGATGCTGCTCCTCCTACAGCTACACCCCTCTAGAAATAACTAACTCATGGGTCACCTTTGCTGATGCATTGGCCACCTATAAAATTAGCCCTGCCCCCAGGACTCTGTGCACTGTTTTTACTTAATACTTGTGTCTCCTCCACAGCCAGAAGGTAGTGATTAAAATGATATTTACTCTGTTTATCTCTGGATAATGTTCTGGGAATTTTAAATCAAAAGTGAAATATTGATTTAAGTATGTACACTTACATTTTCATTAGACAGAATTTCTATCCAAAGGCAGAAATAAATGTATAGATTTCAGAACCTGGAAATCTCAACAAATTTTGTTAAACTTTGAGCCTTCCTCAAATAGTATTTTAGATAGAATAGAATAGAATAGCATTTTCAAGTGACCAGTAAAATAGACATTTTGCTCAATTGATGCAAATAGAAGTAAAGAGATGTTTTGCTCAATCTGCAGCCAGGGTGACTCAAGCCATTGTACAACTCCAAGGACTCCCCTCACAGAGGTCCACCGGGAAGCTCTGTGGTTGGCTCCTTGGGCAGTAAAGATACAACCCAAGGCCCTGGCAAAGGCCAGGCAGATGCATCCTCTTAACACATCCTGCACCCACCCGCAAGGCCATACCAACGGCAAACCTGGTCTGGTGGAAACACAGACCTGACCCAGGCTTGACTCCTGTCCTGAAGGAGCTCACAGTCGAGGGGAATCCATGGGATGACTACCAAGGAATTCCATTAACAATCCTTCAAGCTCCTTCTACATTTGGGACTGCTCCCAACTCCCAACCACCCCAGGAGCAGCACGGGGAGCACTCCATCTGAAAAGAGCAATCAGATCCCATGGTGAACACATGAGGCCCCAGCAGGGCAGCCCGCGGCCCCACAGACTCTTGTCCAACATTCAGACCAGGGTGTTCACCTGGAAAAATAGGTCCATTCACAAAAGCACACAATCTGACAATTCTGCAATGACAAGACTGCATCCAGCTCTTCCTATGCTGGAGAAGGGAGGTGCTTATTTAGAAAATAACCAAATTAGAATATATCTTTCTGTGCATTTATAAGAATTTGTGTTTTAAAACCTAGTACATTTGATAACCTGTTCATGAGTTAAACAAGTGTAAATCTCCCTCTCTCTCTTTCACACACACACACTTACAGTCTGGATTCCTTAAAGAGAAAAAAAACAACGCCCAAATGCCCGCCTGTTCTTTAAAAAAGTGGACGATGTGATTCCCTTTTTTCATGAGTGGAACTAAGCAGTACATTCTCTGAATGGAGATTCAGAGCTTGGAAAGAACTACTACCGGTCATTATAAAGAAACCATCACAGGACACCATGAAAACACAGATATGGTGCCTACCCTTCCTACATAAAACAAGCACTGTTCCCTGCCATGAGGACATGTCCTATGGTAGTAACACAGTGGTGCTCATCCCTGCCCCCTGCCACCCTGCTAGATCCTTCCAAGTGATGTAACAACCTCTCCCCTTGCCTTCTATCCTCAGAAAGCCCGCAATGGAAGAGAAGCTAAGGGCAGGTGGCCAACCTTCACCAGGCACTTTTCACCCCACAATCTGCTTCATAAACTATGCCCATTGCCATGCAAACTCCTTATCACCAGGCACAGTTAACAAGCAAGGTCTGCATATTTTAATGACTGACAAGAACACTTAGCCTTGGGCCAAAATGTCATGCCCCCTTATTAGCCAAGCAGACATCCAGTCAGAGACCGGCAGACCTCAAAACAACAGCATTATGTGCCGACATCATCAAATGGAAGAGTCTGTGTCTGGTCCTCAGATTGAGTCCTCGGGTTCTCCGTCTTGTCTGACAATTACAACTTGGGCCCTTCCACACTGGCCACAAACACTTTTGAGGCCAATGTGGTTCATATTCAACACTCCCATGTAAGTCAGCCTCCCTAAAGCCTCGACTCCTCTCAGAATATTACCTTTTGAAGGTTCAGCTCTGCCTGAGCAAGGAAATCGTTATCCGTGACAAGACTATGTATTTGGATATACATACTTGGGCCAAATTAATCTGCTTCTCATTAGGGCTAGTGGTTCATCTGTGAGTGCAAGTCACTGTCTCCTGGGACCCAGGGCTGGTCACAGTAGTAGTTATAATAAATCCACTCACACTGAAAGCTTAAAGGAAAGTCACTAGGAGAAAAAGAAGAAAATCACACAGAAAAGCTTGTGACAGAGGAGGCAGGACTCAGGGCCAGTATTTCAGAAGTGTCTTTTAGGCATAAAAGTGTCACTGGCTCCATTTTCAGGGCAGGAGCAATGACCACCCACCCACACTAATTGACTGAGAGTAAACGGGCCTCACAGCCTGGCCATGCTGAAAGCTGGCCGAATTTCTGCCATTGTCTCAGTTGACAGCATTCTGGAGACCCCAGGAGTGAGGGGGGAGGTTAGAGCTGGGCTCAGGGCACCTTCATCAGTGCTTCTGGAAGAAGGACACTTCTTAGCCCGGTGAACAAAGCACCTTGGAAAGAGTGCTAATGTGGGCAGGGAGCAGGGAAAGTGCCAGAAGAACCTCACTAAAGCTGGATTCTGGGCTCGCTGCTGTCCCTGCTGACCGGTGAGGCCAGGGCAGGGTCATCCCTGGGACCAGCAGTGCCCACTGGTCATGGCTAATCCCTTAGGGGGTAACCTGGGACAGCAGTTTAGCCCAAAGGCCAACGTCAGTTTGTAGACACCACAGGGGACATTTCTAGTTTGAGAGTTACGACCAGCTTGTAACAAGGACGGTGACCCCCTGGTCTCTCCACCCTGGTTGCGCACT